GATTTAAATCTATTCTCCTAGCAATTTTCAAAAGCACAATATGTTGTTATTAACCATAGTAAGCACATTGTACCATAGACCTCTGGAACTTTCTTTCTTTCTTTCTTTCTTTCTTTCTTTCTTTCTTTCTTTCTTTCTTTCTTTCTTTCTTTCTTTCTTTCCCTTTCTTTCTTTCTTTCTTTCCCTTTCTTTCTTTCTTTCTTTCTTTCTTTCTTTCTTTCTTTCTTTCTCTTTCTTTCTTATTTATTTATTTTGAGTTGGAGTCTCACTCTGTCGCCCAGCCTGCAGTGCAGTGGCACTCTCACTGCCACCATACCCTCAGCCTGTTGGACTCAGGCGATCCTTCCACCTCAGTCTTCCAAGTAGCGGGAACCACAAGCACACACCACCACACCTGGCTAATTTTTTGATTTATTATAGAGACAAAGTCTTGACATGCTTCCCAGGCTGGTCTTGAACCCCTGGGCTCAAGCAATCCTCTCACCTCCACCTCCCAAAGTGCTGGAATTACAGGCTTCAGCCACTGAGCCCAACCTATTTCTCCTTTCTAACTGAAATTTTGTATCCTTTGACCAACATCTCCCAAACTCACCAACCTCAAGCCTCTGGTAACCACACATTCTACTTTCTGCTTCTATGAATTCAACTTTTTGCATCTTTAAACTATAAGTGAGCTATGCAGTATTTGTCTTTCTATGCCTGGTTTATTTCACTTAACATATCTCCTGGTTCATGCATGCTGTCAAATAGAACATGGTTTCCTTCTTTTTAAAGACTGAGTGGTGCATGCTGAGTATCCCTTATCCAAAATGCTAGGAAATGTTTTGGATTTAAAATGTTTTTGGATTTTGAAATATTTGCATTATACTTACTGGTTGAGCATCCTTAATCCAAAAATCCGAAATCTAAAACATTCTAACGTGTGCTTCCTTTGAGCATCATGCCAATGCTCAAAAGTTTTGAATTTTGGAACATTTCAGTTTTGGATTTTCAGATTAAGGATGGCTCAGTCTATATTCCATTGTGTATCTGTACCACATTTTCTTTGTCTGTTCTTACAATGATGGACACCTAGGTGGATTTCATATCTTGGCTATTGTGAATAATGCTCAGGGAACATAGGAGCGCAGATTTTCTTTGACATCCTGACTTCACTTCCTTTGGATGTATACCCAGATGTGGGATTGCTGGATCACATCGTAGCTCTATTTTTAATTTCTTGTGGAATCTCCATATCGTTTTCCACGGCTACACTAGCCTACATGATCACCAACAGTGTGCAAGGTTTCCCTTTTCTCATTGTTCTCACCAACACTTATTATCTCTTATCATTTTTATAATAGCTATTTTAACAGACATGAGATGATATCTCATTGTGGTTAATACAAATTTTGGTCCTGAGAAGTGTGGTGCTGCTGTAACAGATACCTCAAAATGTAGAATTGACTTTGGAACTGGCTAAGACAAGAGACTATAGAACTTTTGAGGCCATGTTAGAAAAAGCCAGATTGTCTTGAAGAGATTGTTAGTAGAAATATGGACATTAAAGATGCTTTTGGTGAGGTTTCAGATGGAAATGAGAAACATGTCATTAGACACTAGAGGAACAGCAATTCTTGTTATAAAGTGGTGAGGGACTTGACTGAATTGCATTGTAGTGTTTTGTGGAAGCAGAATCTGTGAGTGATAACTCCAATATTTAACTAAGGAGGCTTCTAAGGAAAGTGTCGAAGGTATAACCTTCTTTCTCCCTACTGCTAGGAAGATGAGAGAGAAGAGAGATAAATTGGAGAAGGAATTATTAAGCAAAAAGGAACTAGACTTGAAAATTTGGAAAATTTCCAGCATATCCACATAGCAAAAAATGAGCAAGTATATTTTGGAGAGAACTCCAAGTTCTGGCCAGACAATCCTTCAATAAGGAAAGTATGGGTGTACATTAAAAAGGGGGCAAAAGACATGAACAGACACTTCTCAAAACGAAGATACACGGGCAGTCAACAGACACATGAAAAAGTGCTCAGTTTCACTAATCATCAGAGAAATGCAAATCAAAACCACAATGAGATACCACCTAACCCCAAACTGGATTTAAAAAAATGTGGTACATATAAAAAGGCTATCATTAATAAAACAAACAACAACAGATACTGGCGAGGATGTGAAGAAATAGGAACGCTTCTACACTGCTGGTGGGAATGCAAACTAGTGCAACCTCTTTGGAAGACAGTATGGTGATTTCTGAAAGAACTAGAAATTGACCTTCCGTATGACCTATCAACCCCCTATTGGGAATATATCCAGAGTAACTCAAATCATTCTACAAAAAAGATACCTGTACACGCAAGTTTGCTGCAACTCTATTCACAGTAACAAAAACATGGAACCAACCATGCTGCCCACTGAAACCAGACTGGATAAAAAAAATGTGGTACATATACACAATGGAATATTATGCAGCCATAAAGAAAGATAAACATATGGTCTTTGCAGTAACTTGGATGGATTTAGAGTCTATCATACTCAGTGATCTATCATGGAAACAAAGAACAGAGTACCATATGTTCTCACTCAAAAGCGGACCTTGAACAATTATCATAATACTATAAGAAAGGGATTGGCAGTAGTGGGAAATTGCCAGGGGAGGGAGGGTGGGATTGGCAGTTGAGGGAGACTGCCAGGGGAGGGAGAGGACACACCTCATCAACAAGGGTACCTGCATAATAAACATTTCTATACCTAACCCTGAATTGTACCCACATCTTTAAAATAAAAAAATAAAATAAATAGATAAATAAAAAGAAAGTATGGGTGTAACTCTTGGATCTAACTGGTCATCTCAGAAGAAGCCAGGAATAGAGATAGGGTTATGTTAGCAGAAATTCTACTAGCTTGGGCTAGAGGATGGAAACAGGACAAAATGAAGAAAGGCTGTGTAGGGCTTCTTAGATTGTACAGGACAAGACAATGAGCCATTTGGCTGCAAACAAATGTTATCCTTTAAGACAAAGGAAAAATGACTTCAAAGGCAATTCAGAGATCAGCAGAGCTGCCACTGCCACCACAGGCCTGGGGATGAGGCTATCTCCTCTTTGGTTTCAGAAGATGGGGTCAAGTCTTCCAACAGTGGGCCAGGATGCTGCTAACCAGTGCCTCGTGGAAAGGGCTACCACTTAGAGACATGGGGATGGGGCTGCCACTGAGGATTAAAGAGGCAATACTGCCACTTTAGGGGGCCCAGAAGGCCAGGCCACCAGCTCAGGGGGCCCAGGACAAGACATGGAGCCAAAGAGGATTATTCTCAAACCTTACCAATCTCATGGAATTTGCTCTGCTAGGTTTTGAACTTGTTTGGGACCCGTGACCCCTTTCTTCTATCTGATTTCTCCCTTTTTGAATGAAAATGTGTATTGTCTACCTGTGTTGTAGTATTGTAGTTTGCAAGCAGGTACCTTCTCTGACTTCATAGGTTCACAGCTGGAGAGGAATTTGTCTTAGGATGTATTGTGCCTCAAGTCTAACCCACACTTAATGCAGATGATATTTTGATGAGATTTGGGACTTAGAGTTGATGCTAGAATGAATTAAGACTTTCAGGCTGTTGGAATTGGGGTGAATGTATTTTGCACGTTAGAAGGATATGAATTTTGGGAAGCCAGAGAGCAGATTGTTATGAGCTAAACTGTATCTCCCCCCAAAGTTCATATTTTGAAGACCTAACCCTCAGTACCTCAGAATTTGACTATATTTAGAGATAGGGCTTTTAAAAGAGGTGATTAAGTTAAAACTGAGGCTGTCAGGGTGGGCTAAAATCCAATATGACTGTTGTCTTTACCAGAAGAGGAAATTTAGACACTCAGAGAGAAGGCTAGGTGAGGTCACTGCAAGAAGTGGCCATCTGAAAACCAGGAAGAGAGGTCTCAGGAGAAACAAAAACTGCCTACATTTAAATCTTGGACTTCTAGCCTCCAGAACCATTAGAAAATAAATTTCTATTGTTTAAGCCACCCAATGTGTGGTACTTTATCATGGCAGCCCTAGCAAACTACAAGGAGGGAGGTCCCTAATCCAATATGACTGGTGCCCTTGTGAAAAAGGAGATTTGAATGTAGAAACACACACCGGGAAAATACCATATGTAAATGGGAGCTATGTTGCTACAAGCCAAGGGACATCAATATTGCTGCCACACCACCAGAAGATAAGAGACAGGGCCTCACATCTCTCAGAAAGAACCAATGTTGCCAATATCTTGAAGGTAGACCTCTAACTGCTGGAAAGAAGAGGACCACCTAGTTAGTGGTACTTTGTTATGGCAGCTCCAGGAAACTAATGTGTTGGGTTTTCTATCACATGGTACTAACTACCTCCTAACTGCAGCAGTAGAAATCATCTACATTCTACTCATACTGCACTACTTGAAGTAATAAGCTCCAGAATGAACCAGAATGACATGATTTTTGGAAAGAAATAGAATGTAAAGGAAAACAGTTCAAGGCAGAATAAGATGATCAAAGAATAACTCAACTAAGAAATGCAGACAGGCAACCTGTAAAAAGAAACAGTGAAGAAAAAGAGAAAGATTCATTGGGATCTGTCAGCTACCATGTGACTTTGAAACACATGAGTTGAGATTAAACATATTCATTTTATGGCTAGCGGGTAAAAGAAAGAAATTATATGTGAAAAGTGCTAATAAATTTATAGTAAGGTCAGAAATAAGAATCACTGAACTCACAGAAATATACCTTCAATTTTTACAAAACTCACGAAGTTTCTAGAAAAAAATATCAAGGAAGCTGTTACTACAGAATTAAGTCGAAATGTCTTTTAAAAAAGAGGTTGCAGAAATAGAATGGCCTCCTCACTAAGCATTCTTAGAGCTGGATTCCACTCTCCCAGTGATGTATGTCATATGCTGAGCACATCAGCACATTAATTTCTCTACCTGGCAAGAAAGACAAAAGACCAGCATACTGTCACTTGGATAAGGCACCTACCTGCAGAGGCACATCCGGATTCATAGTAAATTGGAGGATTTTGTCAGTCCAGGGGAAGAATTTCTTAGTCTTGTGGTCCACATAATAATCAAAGACTGTTCCTTGGGATGGAAACTTCACAGCTTTCATCTCCTTATGCCACCACCGACTGAAGTCAGCTTGATAATCAGAAAGCTATGGAGAACAAGAGAAATCCTTGTGGCAGACTTCAAGGCAATCAAAGCCATCAAATAAATAACTAGAAATAAGTCAGAATGAGTAATACCATCACAGGGGTAGAAAGCTACAATGGCCACATACCCATCAAGTGCAAATTCAGCAGAATGATTAACTTAAAAAGCAAGGTAAAGTTAGGTGAACATCAGGCCACTCCTTGGTTATTCACTCTAACCACAAACTATCGTGTAAATTACCGTGTGAGGTAGCAGTTGTCAAGCAGTGGTGTGATGTCCACCAATGTTCACATCAAGCATGGTACAATGGGAAAAATAAAGACAATGGGGTAATCTAAAACCTGGTAACATTATTTGATTCTAATACTGTTCCTTATTCTGAGTGTATAGCTGGAGTATATCATGTAATTTAATGTACATTTTTAAAAAATCACTCTGGGCTGGGTATGGTGGCTCACACCTGTAATCCCAGTATTTCAAGAGGCTGAGGTGGAAAAACTACTTGAGCCCAGGGGTTCAAAACCAGCCTGGACAATATAGCAAGACTTTGCCTCTACAAACAAATAAAAAAATTAGCTGGATGTGGTGGTGTGCACATGTAGTCCCAGCTACTTGGGAGGTTGGGGCAGAAGGATCATTGAGTCCAGGAGAAGTCGAGGCTGTGGTAAGCCATGATCCTGACACTGCACTCCAGCCTGGGAAACAGAGTGAAATCTTGACTCAAATAGCTAGCTAGCTAGAAAGACAGACAGACAGATGGATAAAATAAGATTAAAAAATTTTAAAAATCACTGATTACTGAGTGATAATGAATTGTGGGGCCAAGTGTAGACACAGAAGCCAAATGAAAAATGATAGCAGCTGATGGGAGCTGAGGGAGCTGATTTGAGACCCACACTAGAGGTTGTCTGTAATGGTCTGATTTAGGAACACAGGTCTGGAGTCTGTTTGCTGCAGTTTAAACCTGGCTCAGGCTAGCTTCATGTCCTTAAGCAGATTAATTTACCTCTCTAGGCTTCAGTTCCTTATTTGCAAAAGAAGAATAGTTGTACCAATTCATATAGATTTTTATCGTTTGGAGGATTAAGTGAAATGGCTCATGAAAAGTCCAGCACAGTCCCTGACATACAGCAGGGTTAACAAATGGCTGTCTCAAGAATATTTCTTGTGTCTGTTTCCTTCATGCTCTGAACCTCACAATCTCTCTTTTGAACGCTTTGTAGTTAGAGATCTTTTGAAAATATAAAGATGATGATGATGACGATGACAACAATGATGATATTGACTATGAACTGGGAAAAGGAAGCAACCAGTGATGCCCAGTTTCCACCTGGAATAACTGTGGAGGAAGGCCAGCATGTCTGGAAACTGGGAAAATTAAAAGAGGACCCGCCAGGAGGGAGGTGGGATATTATCCTCAGGGGTGGGAAGATCTCAGCTATCAACATCTTACCTGATTTTACAGTCCTGGGAAAATAAAAACTTTGTGAAAAACACTGAGAGAAAAACCTGGCAAGGAGAAAAGGGTTGTATTCTGTCTGCACATGGCCTTTGTGAACAAGAAACCCACACGTGCTATAAACTGTGCCTTTGAGAAGGCCACATGGAGTCCCCACACCAACACTTGACTTGCCCAAAGCAGGACCAGCTGCTGCTCTTTAGAAAGCACTTGGAGATTATGGAAGGAAATGTGCCTTCTGATAATGGCTGAAAAAAGACCTGGGAGGCCAAGTGAGTGCCAAATTTATTTATAGATATGAGTATGGTAACCTAGTGCCAAGAAGTAGGACTGGCCCACAGGTGACATCAACCATTTATTCGAGGATCTGCAGGGAGTGAACTAGCAGAAATATGGGTCACTTCTGACTGTGATGTCTTCCAGTGTAAACTTCCTGTTCTCACCTGGGAAGATCCAGGAAGCCTGGAAAATATCTGTTTTCTTTTGTTTTGCTTTATTTGAGACAGGGTTTCACTCTGTCACCCAGGCTGGAGTGCCAACTCAAGCTCAAGCAATCCTCCAACTTCAGCCTCCCAAGTAGCTGGGACTATATGCACACCCCACCACACTCAGCTAATCTTTTAAACATATTTTTTTGTTTTTATTGTAGAGACAGGGACTTGCTATGCTGCCCCAGTTTGATCTTGAACTCCTAGGCTCTTGCAATCCTCCTACCTTAGCCTTCCAAAGTGCTGGGATTACAGGTATCAGCCACCACGCTCGGCCTGTGTTGCATATTTTTAATGTAAGGATTCAGGGGCAGCATGATGACCATGAGAGGTCCTGAGCTACCACAAAAAGCGTGGCCTTTGGAGAAAGATACTTGCGTGGGAACCGTGGTGTTCCATCACCATCAGTGCAACTTTGGACAAGTGGCTTTGCCCCTCAGAGCTTTGCTTTATCTGTAAAGATCACATGAGAAGAGTCTACACAGAGAGTTGCTTGGTGGAGATGAGAGCTGCACATGTCAAAAACTGAAAAGCCCCCACTTTGCACCTTGGTAAGTCCAAACCGTTGGTGTACACAGGGTGTGTGTGCTCGTGCCAGTTCCTCTCCCAGGTGATTTCCCATAGGAAATCAGAAGCCACAAAAGGGCTATTCAAGGAATCTGTGCAGGTGTGACCATTTCACTTTGAGCTGAAGGAAGAGCAGTGAAAGGGAACTAGCTGTGGTTGACCACTGATCACAAATGACTACCCTGAAAACAGCATGTGAGACTGGTTGGAAGGAGGAGAGACTAGAAACTTCAAACTGGAGAAACCAGGCTGGAGGTTACCATAGACAAGAAAGTGCAGTTTGACTCCCCCTCATTCCCCAAATCCACATGTTGAAGCTCTAATCACCTGTTAAGATATTTGGAGATGGGGGCTTTGGAGCGTAATTAGGCTTACATGGGTCATGAGGACAGGCCCCCTCATGATGGTGTTAGTGCTTTTAGAAGAAGAGGCACCCATTTTTTATTCTCTGTCACAAGAGGACATAGTAAGAAGGGAGCCATCTGAAAACAAGGAAGAAAGTTTTTAGCAGAATCCAACCATGCTGGCACTCTGATCCTGGACTTCCAACCCCCAGAACTGTGAAAAATAAATTTCTGTTGTTTAAACCACCGCATCTATGGTATTTTGTTATGGTATCCTGAGCTGACTAAGACACTATGATAGCCCAGGGCAATCTAAAAATAATCCACTGCAGAATTAAGGCTGTGGGGATGGAGAAGAGGGGACAGACTTGGCAGTTATTTCATAAGTGAAACTGAAAGAGTCTGAGACCATGGAAAATAAAGAAGGAAGAGTGATGTCTCCCAGGTTTGGAAATGAAGCAGCTGGGAAGAATATACCACTGAAGGGGAAAAAAATAAAAAAGGAGGGTCAAAGTGGGGTATGGACCTTAAAAGGCCAAGGCAGGAGAATTGCTTGAGTCCAGGAGTTCGAGACAAGCCTAGGCAACATAGCGAGACCTCATCTCTACAAAAAAAATTTTAAAGATAAGCCAGGCATGGTGATGCATGTCTGTAGTCCCAGTTATTTGGGTGGCTAAGGTGGAAGAATCACTTGAGCCCAGGAGGTTGAGGCTATCGTGAGTCATGATTGTGCCAGCATGAGTGACAGAGTGAGGACTGGAAAGAAAAAGACAGGGGGTAGGAGGGAAGAGAAGGGAAGGGGAGGGAAGGAGAGGGAAGGTGTGGGGAGGGACAGGAAGGAAAGGGGAAGGAAGGGGAGGGGAGGGGAGGAAAGGGAAACAAATTGGGGCGTGGGGCAGACGAAAGGTCTACTTCGGGCATGCCAAGTATGACATTTATAGAACAGCAGGCTGCAGGTGAGATGCCAGAGGCTGCTGGGTACATAGAGGTTTGTGTTCAGAAGAGTCAGGCTGAGTCTACAGATTTGGCATCATCAGATGAGGTTGGAACTACCAGCCCGGATGGGATTGCTCAGAGAATGTCCATGCTTAGGAGAGCATAGGGCAAGTGGTCCATTATATAAAATCAAAACTTACAAATCACATAACAATCCCTCCCCACCCCCAAGTAAAGCTGACTCTGTAATTCACTTCTAAACCTACCTGATCCTGTAGCAGAGGGCCTCCAAACGCCCAGACGCAAGCAAAGACAAAGTAGACTTCATACACTTCTTTGGGGCTGTCAGAGGGCACATTTTCAGGGGTCAACAAACACTCCAAGAGAGCACAAATAGTCTAAAGAAAAAGAAACAGCCATTTATTCAGGGTAACCTTGTCTTAGTAGTGGTTAAGTTCAGAGGATGTTCCGACAACTCCACTTTATCCTTAAGAGATTACATAATTGTTTCCAACTCTGTGACTTGCTACATTGAGAGAAATAAAAATGACTGCCTTAGGTATCTGAGCCAATGGTAGAAAACTTTTGTCAGTTTTCACCAGAATGATCTTCTAGGTAATAGCGAACCATTTTTAAAAATAAAATTTTCAATAATCTAGTTAATAGTTACTGTACAAACCAAAAATACATATGAGTAAAAAGGGCAAAGATGGGTATATAGCTATATTCACTTTGTTATAAATAGAGAATCATACTTCACATGATATTCTATAACTTACTTCTCCTCACTTAAAAACATACCAAAGACATTTTTATCCATCACTGTGACTCACAGCATCATTGGGATGGATGTGTAGGACTCCATTGAATAGACAGGCATTTGGTTAACTATCTCCCTCTCATTGGACATTTAGATAACTCACTTTCCATCAGGGTGCTGGCAGCCATTTTCCTCACCTGTTGTCATAAATTTAGAACGTTGGAGTGGCAGCCATCGCCTGTGGTTTTTTTTTTTTTTGGGCAACAAACTAAATTTAACCTTGTAAGAAACATTGTTGAGGAACGTGGTGTGGTGTGTGTGTGTGTGTGTGTGTGTGTGTGTGTGTGTGTGTGTGTTTGTGTGTGTGTCTCACTCTGTTGCCCATGCTGGAGTGCAGTGGCATGATCAAGGTTCACTGCAGCCTCCAACTCATGCAATCCTTTTACGTCAGCCATCTAAGTAGCTGGGACTATAGGCGAGCACCATTACACTCGGCTAATTTTTTGCTTTTTTGTAGAGATGTGGTCTCACTCTGTTGCTCAGGAGAGTTTTGAACCCCTGAGCTCAAGCAATCCTCTCACCTCAGCCTCATAAATTATTAGGATTATAGGCGTGAACAACTGTGCCCAGCAAGGAACATGTACTTCAAACATTCCGGGGGAAATGGCAACATGCTCTGTTGGTCCTAGCATACCCCATGCTCGGGGCACTCACATCAGTAATGAGAGGATCATGGCTGTTGCCATGAAATAATAACTAGCAATGAATATGTTTTGGGGCCAGATCTCTCAAGTGTAAAAAATGGTTGTCATTAATTAGCATCCTCACAGAAAAATAAAAATAGCCTTCCTCCAGTTTGGGGGGTCAGCAATAGATGATCAGACCTGTAACCATGCAAGCCACAACAAATCAAGTCAGAGTCGTGTGTGTACCTTTCCTAACTAGCCACGAAAGATGGGAGGATGCTTTCCATTTAAATAGTTGAGCACCTGTTATAGTTTAAATTTTTTCTCTCTTGATTTCTATCATTTTATACTGTGCCACGTCAGCCAGTTTGAAATCATCTTTTAATAGAACACAACTCACCAATTTGTTTTTGAAAAACGGTGTAAAATCCTGAGGCTCCACTATTTCTGAGTGAAAGCTGTGTTGTTCTAAGGAGCCGTTAAAATTGAAAAAAGAAAACTAAAAAGTCTCAGTGTTATGCTATCTGTGCCGGTGACCACTCTAATCAAGTCACATGATTCTTCTGTTGTCTCCCAAACACAGTACTTGAAAAACATGTTGAGCTCTGTGTTAGCAATTAATAAAATCATATTTTAATGCATATTCCAAGAGTCAATACGCTTGACCAAATGTAAAGATTTTCAGATATTAGAAGAGAATGCATTAATTTCTTAAGATCGCCTTTTCAAGGTAGTCTCTTTTCATACCCATTTTTGCCTCAAAATCCTACACTTACAAGTAACCACAGAAAAGAAACTACTCTATAAAACAACAGCTTAAAAGGAGCTAAGGATTAAATGCCATTTCTAAATACTACAAAAGGAGAAAATGGAGAAATCATATTAATTCCTACTGACCTATTTTCACACTACTCTTGAATGAAAAAGTTCACACCACAGAGAATCACACAAATACACAAGTCAACTTGAGAAAGAACACGATCATGCTTTTTTGCAAGTATTACACCAGAGGAAGTCTAATTAGGCTAACTACATAATTAATTCATTATGAATAAATTCAGGCCGGCTTTCAGAAATAAATTATACCTCAGATAATTACTGTTGAAGACTATCGTTTATTTAATTGGTGTGTGAATTATCCCAAAACCTGAACTTTCTCTTCTTATTATGCTTGTGACTATTTCTAATTTAGCTTCAAACAAATTTGGTAACATAGTAACTTAATGGTAACAACGTACTTAGAAACCAATTTTGCTCCTATAGGGCAAAAAAAATTTCAAATGGTAAATCTTTTGTGAAGTTTTTTGCTTTAAGGGCTGGGGATAGTTGTTTCTCATGCTGAGATTAAGATCACAACCTTCATTTCTGTATGCTGTAAATTATTTTCATTAGCTTCCATGACAACGTATCATATGTACCCTTCATTCTTACCAGCTGTCTCAGGACCAGGATCAGAAAAAATGTATCCCTGGAAAATTAGGAACTCTTCATCCAGACTGACATGACTTCAGGAATATTTTTGGGAGGTGGAGGTCTGTGGGTGGTGGCGCCTACGTGGCAGAACTCAGAGGCCTTCTCCTACTCACTGGTTGGCATCTTTAATTGCACAGATTTATTCTTTTTTCAAAAAAACATACTGAGCACCCTCTCTGGGCAAGTTTCTTAGGAGCTAGTAAAATACATAAGGCTGTTGCAACTTTGTTCTTCTAACTGTGCAAATACATACACTTGGGAGGAACATAATTATTCAATAAACACATATTGGACACCTACTGTATGCTAGAAGCTATGTAAATCTCCAGTGATATAAAAATGAATTAAACATGGCTTCAATCTATTTTCACAAGATTGTGAAAAGGAAGACCACACACCCAAATACCAACTGAGTGTGATAGTATATAATAGGGACTTGCTCTAGGGAACATGGGGGCTGGGGCAGGAGGGTTGAAGCAATTTAATCATTTCAGAAATCTTCCCATCTTCTTGGGCAAGCAAGAACTTCTGTTTTCTCGACCAAGACCCACCACCATATCAGAACTAGAATGTCAAACGATATCACCGAAGACAAACCTGAACCAGGCTACTCTCTGGAATTGCCGTGATTGTTTTAAAGCTTGTCCTCATCTTCTCCAAACAAGCGGGAACATACTTATCAAAAAGAATAGTTAAATTGGCCTTTTCTGATTGATGCTGCCTTCTGTCTATCCAACTGGTCACATACCTGAAAAGAAAAACAGAAAAGCTTTTATTGAACACTAGACTTGAAAAGTAGAATTTCACCAAGTCAAAAGCTTCCCCCTCCGACACAGCTTGGCGCAACATTTCAGGGACACGTTGTACGAGTTCATTCTGTTTCGCAAACGGCAAATATTTTAAAATGGTCCTTTAAAAACTTGTTTTAATGGCCATTTTTACCTTAATGAAAAGACCGTGAAAGAAACTCCTAATAGCACTTAGGAGCCAAACATAATGGAGTGTAAGTAGGCCATTACTGAGCATTTATAAGGAAGGGCAGTATGTCATTTCCTGAAGGGCTGAAACCATTCCCAGAGTGCAGACCTTATTTATGAAAACAGCTTGGGATTTTTCTTGATTAATCTTGGCATCAATTATTTAGTAATAAGAAATCAGTTACAAATAAAAAGGTGAAAATTCCATAGGGGCTATTTCAAAGTCCCTCCTTTTTCACCAGACTGAGTGTAACTCCAACCTGATAGCTGATAATGCATTTCCAGTAAATGGCTCTGAAATGTATCTCATGCTTGGGAACATTTATACAAATATGAATCTGAAGTGCATGAAATATTATCAATTTGATACATTAATTATCTCGAATGTATTCATAAAATAACACCTACCAATAAAACAAAGCTTGACTTCGTAGCACCCATAGTGGTCTCTGGGGTGAAAATGAATGATGTTAAACAAAAAAGAAACCCTCAGAAAGTCCTCATGAGGAAGCATAAGGAACAAATGCATTTAGCGACCAGTAGAGAAGCAATGTGACCACAGATCAAGACAGCTGTACCTTGTTTAAGCAAACCAGATTTTGCATTGAGTACCAGAAGAAATGAAGGCAAGACAACAATCTTACAAAAGGCTCCTTTTGCTTTTCACAAGGCTTCATGATGGGTTTTATTAAATAGTCAACCGCGTTACACTCTGGTTAGATTTACAAAATGTCCACTGTGAAGACTTTTCATGTCCAAGAGGAACGGTTTTTAGTGGAGGTCCAATTGTATGTGAGTAACTTGATACAGACACCATGGAACAATAGGATGTGGGTGTTAATGACTGGGACAAAAGTATGAAGGCCACGTCTGCCCCTTAGCTATGGATTTTACTGCATATATGCTGCCAGAAGTGGAATCTTTGTATCTAGGGCTTTTCAAGGGGGAAGAAAAAAGAATTACTCAGGGAAGTGAAACTAAAGTCAGCTTGTCTGGATTTGCACCTGGTTCTACCATTTTTTAAATTTTTTTATTATAAAGATGTGGGGTACAATTCAGGGTTAGGTATACAAACTTTGATTATGCAGGTACCCTTATTGATGAGGTATGCCCCTGCCTCCCCTAGCAGTTTCCCTCACCTGCCAATCCCACTCCACCTCCCCTGACAGTTTTCCACTACTGCCAATCGCTTTCATATAGTATTGTAATTGTTCAAGGTCTGCTTATGAGTGAGAACATATGGTACTCCGTTCTTTGTTTCTGTGATAGATTACTGAGTATGATTGACTCTAAATCCATCCAAGTTGCTGCAAAGTCCATATTTGTCCTTCTTCATGGCTGCATAATATTCCATTGTGTATACATACTACATTTTTTTTTTTATCCAGCCCAGCTTCGATGGGCAACATGGTTGGTTCCATGTTTTTGCTATTGTGAATAGAGCTGCAACAAACATACGTGTGCAGGTATCTTTTTTGTGGAATGATTCAACCGTTTTTAAAACCATATTATCTTGGGCAAGTTACTCAACCTCTCTGTGCCTTGAATTTTTTGTCTGTAAATGGAGATGATGATGATAACATATACTTCCTACGGTTGTTGTGAGCATGAAACAAGTTTGCATGTGTAAAGTGCTTTGATTAATATCTGACAAATAACAAATTCTCAGTAAATGATTCTCCTTAGGACAGAGTTGGTGGCATTGGGAGACTTGGCTGAGATCCTGGCTCTGCCTCTCTGTGCACCTGCTAAAAGCAGTAGGGTCCTGTTGGCCCGAGAGTCAGCAGTCAGGGATCTGATGGGCATCACAGATCCCACCCTTTACCTCCCACAAAGTCTCTTTGTGGGGGCAGAAGGCCACTGCAAGGATAATTAGGAGCAGCCACCTCAGAAACAGCCCCAGAGGGAGGAAGAGGGCTTTGTGCTCAGAGGCAAGAAATAGCTGCTTCATTGAGATGCATCAGCAGTAACCAAAGTCACAGGGAGAGCCTATCAGGCCCACTCACAAATGATGCACAAATTACCTCCACCATGGGTGCTGCTCCAGAAAGAAGTGAGTTTAACCTAACCATGGTTAAGAGCCAATTCTGTGTCCCACCCCCCAAAAGGCCAAAAAGCCAACAAATGACCTCTGCTGGGGGTCAAGCATACCACATAGCATAGAGAGTACAAATTATGTTAGTAAATATGAACAGGTAAACATTTTACAGAAAAATTACTGCTAAACTATCATGATTTTAAATTAGACATTTAGGCCGCGCACGGTGGCTGCAACACTTTGGGAGGCAGAGGCAAGAGGACTGCCTGAGCCCAGGGGTTTGAGATCAGCCTGGGCAACTTGGTGGGATCTTGTCTCTACAGTAAATCAAAAAATTAGACGGGCGTGGTAGCACATGCCTGTAGTTCCGGCTACTTGGAAGACTGAGGGAGAAGGATCGCCTGAACCCAGCAGGTCGACACTGGGGTGGCTATGAGTATACCACTGCACTCCAGCCTGGGCAACAGAGTGAGACTACAACTAAAAATAAATAAATAAATAAATAAATAAATAAAATAAAAATAAATTAGACTTTTTAAAAAAACAGCAAATTTAGAAGGAAAAACTATTTTATTCAGCAAGAGCAGATACTGAAGATATACATCTGTGTTTGTTTGCAATTCTTCTCACCTCACCTTACAAATAAAGTTCCTTATGGTTTTTAAAGGATGCTACAGATGTGAGCATGACCACACAGAACATGCCACTATCATATGACATACAACCAAAAATAATGCACTAAAATGTCACATGTATGCCTTGCCTACAAAAGAGATCACCCACGCCCGGCACCCCACCTCAGAATACAGCTAACTATAATGCCCTGATGCATCAATTTAATGCCAACATCTGGGTCATGAACAAAGAATTTTGGTTTTTTGGAATTCACAAAGGAGTCCCATGTGGTCAGCTCTGTCTCTCTTGCTTCCCCCAGAAGGGTTCCAGGCTCAGCACATGAAATCTAGGACCCTGTGGTGTGGAAGCTACCGAGGTAGCTACAGTTTCCAGGCCTCTGAAAACTTTCAAATGTATTTTTTTCAAATTTCTATAAGGTACATTTCAGTGAATAAGAAACTGACAGATATGGGTGATGGATAGATGCTCGCAAGTGAATATACTCATATTTCTATCATCTTATAGTTTCCTTTTTTATTTTATAAAAATCTTTTTCTTTTTTCTTTTAAATTTTTTATTTTAAATACGTGGGGTACAACTCAAGGTCAGGTATGCAAATGTTCATTATGCAGATACACGTGTTGATGAGGTATGCCCCTCCCTCCCCTGGCAGTTTCCCACTACTGCCAATCCCTTTCTTATAGTATTATGATAGTTGTTCAAGGTCCACTTATGAGTGAGAACTTGTGATACTTGGTTCTTTGTTTCTGTGATAGATCATTCAGGATTTTAGCCTCTAAGTTCATCCAAGTTGCTGCAAAGTTCATAATTTTGTTCTTCTTCACGGCTGCGTAATATTCCATTGTGTATATGCACCACATTAAAAAAAATTTTTTTTAATTTTAAAATTGTGGGGTACAATTAAGGGTTAGGTATACAAATATTCATTGTGCAGGTACCCTTGTTGATGAGGTGTGCACCCCCTTTCCCAGGCAGATATTAACTACCGTTAATCCCACCCCTCCCCCAGTTTCCCTCTACTGTCAATCCTTTTCTTATAGTATTACCATAGTTGTTTAAGGTCCACTTATGAGTGAGAACATGTGGTACTCAGATCTTTGTTTTGAAAGATCACTCAGTATTATAAACTCTAATTCCATCCAAGTAGCTGCTTAAGTTCATAATTTTGTCCTTTTTAATGGCTGCATAATATTCCATTGTGCATATGTACCACATTTTTTTAACTAGTCCTCTTTAGAGATTCCAGAAGCAAAACCTCAATTTCTCAACCAACTCATCTTCATTAAATGTATTTCTCAATCCTCTGGGATTGAATCCTGTCACATAGGACAGCAGGAATTCACCAGACTTACAGTATACCTCCCGGCAAGCTTTATGCTCTCAGTCACTCACGGTGGCCTGGAAAAATGGCAGAAGCTAGCAAGACATGCTGGTCAGTGGTAAATGCCTATTATTTCTGAATCTGTATATCTGTAAGGGTAAGCAACACCCAAAAATGAAAGAGCGGGATTGTAGGGGGAGAAGACAATAGGCTTGTCAGACACAGGTGAGAGAATCAGTGGCACACACACATAAAAAAATAAAAGAGAATTAGTGACACAAAGCCCAAGGTGTATTTCAAACTGAAGTGACAGAAGAGAGAGTACGATCTTAAGCTGTGGCTCCCAAAATATATCTCCCAGTATTTACTCTTGGAATCTGACTAAATTCCAGATATAAATCCTTTTCATTACTTATAAGATAAATAAAATACAATTTGGCAGAGCCCATTTTCAGTGTTTTGCTCATTTTTAAATAATTTTAACTCAAATAATTAAAATGGACCAGGTGTGGCAGCTCACACCTGTAATCCCAGCACTTTGGGAGACTGAGGCAGAAGGATTAGTTGAACTCAGGAGTTCAGACCAGTCTGGGAAACAGTGAGAATTTGTCTCTACAAAAAAAATAAAAAATTAGCTGGGTGTGGTATCACTGAGATATCTTCTACTGAGGCAGAAAGATTGCCTGAACCCAGGAGGTTAAGGTTGCAGTGAGCTATGATTGTGCCACTGCACTTTAACCTGGGCAACAGAGTGAGACTCAGACTCAAAATAATAA